AATGCATTGCTGTTGTCAGAAACATGACACTTACTGTCATCCTACATGGGCGTCCTTTAATACTAGAGCCCAGCAGAGACTTCGCATTGCAAAGCATTTCTTTTTTATTTCTCCTCTTCTTACAGCAACTTTTGATGATCGTAAAAATTCTCTTTAAATCTAAAGCAAGCTGCTGATATGTGGCTTTTTCTAAGAAAACTGCCTAAGTATGCCTGTGTTACTGTAATTGTCTGTGTTAATAGAGGCTTTTTTCCAAAATGATCCTGGTATTTAGTAAGACAAGTAAAAAGGAACTGAAACCATTAAAAAAATTGCAAGATGAATCTGGAAATTGCAGGTCCTGACTCGGATCTCATGGATTTCATACAGATTTGATTTAGTAGATCTGTGGCCTTATAAAATCAACATAATTTGACTGATTTAAAAAAAACACCTTATAAAAATTTGCATTAACTGAGGAGCCAGTCCTCCAGGTTCCTTGCAAGGGCTGGAAACCAAGAAATCCTTTTGGTGAATACGGTCAATATTTTTTGAAATTTCATCCTGAAAAATGGAAAAATCTGAAAGCATTTAGAAACTTCCCCAAGACCTGCAGGAAAATAAGGAGAGCCCTGTAACCCAAAGCAGCCCCTAACACAGTGATGGGAACACATGTACAGGAGTTAGTTTTTTCTGATAAAAATCTAGTTATGGAAATATACATAGTGGGGATTGTGACCCTGAATTCCCTTCCCATGGGAAATTTGACCACAGAGCCTGACCAGGAATTTCCTTAACTAACCTGAACATGTCTCCATGGAGAGTTCTCATTTCATCAAACTACTCCTTCCAACCAGAAATATCTTGCTGAAAATTTTCCAGACAGATTTATTCTATACACACGATTAGTCAGAAGTCATATTATTATATGACACATCTTAGCAAAGGCTAATTTAAAAAAAAGAAAAGTCTTTTGCACAAGTCAGACTGCCCCAGGTTAAGGTGAAACATGACTATAAACTGATTTTATTAAACTAATTCAAAGGACTGACTGGACTTTTTCATTGAAGTTTAAACCAGCTCAATTTTGTTCTGTTTTAATATTGTTAGGAACCTGCCATGTTTAAATAGAAATCAGAGCACTGAAACAGGGTAACGAAATTGGTGCTAGCCTGGGTGAGGATAAGGCCGATTCAATCAGTGTTGCTGACAGCTAAGGGTCGTCCGTGTCCCTCCTGAAGCTCCTTCCAGGATTAAGGCAGGCATGCGTTGGGAAGGCTGTTACTCTTTGTTTAGTATGAATTTTAACATATAACTAATATAATAATAACCAAAATGCAAATCAATATAATTAAATTGGAAAGACATCCATATTACCATTAAGAAAATCTCCTTTACATATGTATTTTTTTTTAATTGCTAGGTGGGATCCCATGTTTCGAGTAAAACCCTTCCTCCTCTAGCTAATTCTACGGGGCAGGATGGGTTGAAAATTCAACGCTGGGCTCATCCTATAAATTACTCTCTTAGAAGAGAAGCTTTCAGGTCTGCTTCAAATTAATCCGAAATACCCAGAAATTCTCCATCGATTTCAATAGCTTTGGCTCGAAGCCTTTAATGCCCTGCAGTTAGCCTTACAATGCAAGATGAACTGGAGGGGTTTTCATTGACAAGCCTTCTAACAAAAGTCACCATGCATTTCCCAAACAAATGTGCTGAAAAGGAGTCAGAGAAATAATAACATAAATGTTGATAAAATAACAAAACAAAACAAAACAAAAAAAGGCACAGGAAATATTTGTTATCCTTATTTATTTAATAAAGAAACATAATAAATTTGAATTTTTCCAGGTACAAACAGCTTAATATGTCCTATGATATTGGCTGATATTTTCCTTGCTCTTTTCGTAGCTTGAGTGATTCATGTAGTAGCCTTTATGGAAGAAATCAACAGAAAAAACAGTAGCACTCACCATGCTTATAGACAGTGTGGGCCAACTATTGAGTCAGCGTCTTTAACTAAATCACTGCACCGGGAGGTTGTATCATTGCTAGATTCAGATCGGCATCTCCATTAATAAAGATCTGCAAGTGAGGTTATTTGAAGTTTTTGAGGGGAGTTCTGCATACCATACAAAGATACCATTCCCTCTTCAGCTCTGAAGAAATGTGCCACAAAACAATAGAAAATCCAATAGAAAGCCAACCTTCCAGTTACAAAGGTTTTGAAAGCAATTTACAATTGAGTTTTAGAAAGTTGCACTGTAAACATCTATAGTTAAGACCCTCTCTAAGATTTTTTTTTGCATTATGATTTTTTTTTTTACAGGTTTTGGGTAGAAGGCAGAACCATTTGTAATTGCATCAGTACTATAGGGTCTCACAGCAATGACAATAAAATGTTCAATGCAAGGGTGAAATGACCAGAGGAAGAGCTCTTCTCTAATATAATCGGTGACCAGCTAATCATCCCATTACATCCTGTTCATTACTGGGCCTGACTCTTAATAAGAATATCAGTTGAATATTTTCTAATATAAGTTGCAAATAATTAAAATATTTTTAAAGCAGCATGACCAACACCACTCTGCTGAGTGCAGGCTGGATTTTTCCTTGGGTTTTGAACAGTTTCTATTGTATATGAAAAAAATCACATAAGAAATGCTCCTTTTTCTTAGTATTTTTCCCCCCTTTTTATTCTAAAGCTTTGATAGGAAAATAATTTCACCAGTTGTCAGCCAATAAATGCTTGTTCAGCAAGTAATGAATGTACTATTTTCTAATTAAACAGTTTCATTATAGGCAGCAGCTCGTTGCTAATGATCAATAAATCCCATTGAGAAGAAAACATTTTAATCAGTAAGTCATGTCCTCTGAGTGTCAGCCACTCTATAAATTCACAAGATACATATATATGTATAGATATACGTATGTGTGTATATATATATGCATATAAATATAAAAATCGCATACTCTTTCTGGGTGATATGTACAGTCAGAATAACATTACAGCATAAATACACAGGGAATCTGTATAAAGTTTCTCTGTTTTGAGAAGCCTTGAGCAATTTTGGGTTTTTTGAGGGGGTTAGGGGTAGGTAGGGAGGAAAGAATAGAGTGTTTTTACTTTAAGGAACAAAGAGTAGTTCCCTTAAGTTAGAATCTAATTACATACAAGATTTAAAGGCAACAAAATCTCCAGAGGAACAGCCCTATGTTATACACCATAGACATGGGGTTAAAAGGGCAAGAGATCATGATTATAATAATACTTATATAGTACGTTTCATTCCCTTATAGCACTTTGCAACCAGAAAGTCTTACAACACCCCTGTGAGGTAGGTAAGTATTATTATTCCCATTTTACAGATGGGTAAACTGAGGCACAGATAGGTTAAATTATTTGCCTAAAAATCATGTAGTAAGAATCAGGAATAGACCCCAGGAATCCTGATGGCAAATCCTCTGAATTAACCGATAGACCACTCTCTAGTGAATGCCTGAGACACCTCTCAATGAATGGAGAGAATATATTAGCCCATATTTACACAGATACATCATCATCCTTTTGACATGTTGTCTTTACATATTCTGACTTGTTTAGAGGACAGATAACAATGGCCATAGATAAACTTGACTGTAACATGTCGCTTTAATTCTTGTTGCCAACCCCATGTGGATTTTTGACTCCTTTACAACCTGGGATGTAACTAAATGTCGATGACAATACATCTTAAATACATTCTTGATATCTTTGCTTCTCCAGGGTGAAAAGCACAATTACTCTTCCTTAAAGTGCAATGGCTCATTACAGAAATCTCAAGATTTTCCGTGAAGCCCAACCAAACCCAAGTACAATCAGTCTGAAGGTGAAAAAGAAAGAACTTGTCTGTAATGACGGACTTGTCTCTATACTCCATAAACACTTTTTCACATTCTATCAAGGCTGAAAATTTAATAATAAATAATAATCTGTTAGCACAAAAAACCTCTAATACTTTGCTACAGCTACACATCCACCTTTCACCCCATTGTCATTTCTTTGGCCTGAAGCTGATGGACACATCAACTATAAATATTACTTTGCCTACAGGAATGAGGATATATCTATTTTCTAGTTGATTCTTTTTATGGGTTCCTGTATTTCTTGTCCTTCCCCAGTAATCTGACTGTACCATCTGAGAAAATGAAAGATGGACGCTGAGTAGAAAGGATTCAAAACCTAAAAATTTACATACAGATCCAGGGGCAATTCCCCTCCCACCTTCTTGACCACACTGTTGCAGCTGTTCTGCACGGTCCAATTGACATTGGTTTTAGCAGTAGTAGTAGTAGTAGTAGTAGTAGTAGTAGTAGTAGTAGTAGTAGTAGTTTTGGAGTAGTATTGATGCACAGAGTTTCCAATAAGGCTGCTTAGCTCAGTGTTCCTGGGGAAAACATAACCTATCCCACTACCTTAACAGAAACTTTGCCAGCGTAGATGGTGCTTTGGAGCACTACACACAAATGTGATGCACTACTTCTATGGCGAGTTGGATTACGGTATTCAAAGCAGATTCTTGAAACATACTAAAAAATTAGTGCTTTTATTAACAGTTTTACAAACAGAATCCATTACTGTCTAGTTTCCTGAAGGATAGAACAAGCCATTTTTCTCATTATTTTGACATCATTTCCTGTTCTGTGGTGTTTTTTTTTTTTTATTTCTGCTGATGCAAGTCCCAAGAGGAAGGGCTTAGTGTAATAAACAGTTAAAATGTTGCTAATTTGATAGTTTACTTTGCAACAACTTTCCTCTTGAAATGATGGGGAATCCCACAAGTTCCTATTACCTTGACTCAGAGTTCATCATGAAGAGTGTAAGGATCATTAATCTTCATGGAAAAAGAGACATTTTTTTTTTTAAAGTAAAAAAATATCAAATATAATAAATTTATGAAAGACCATTCACAACATATACAGTAAGTGTTACATTTTGCTACAGCAGCTGTGATATTTTTTTTTTCTTTTTAGAATGCAAGGTCATACATCGCCGTAAGTAAACACACTAATATGAGTAAGACCTTAAATGAATGTATACAGCCAGGCTTTACCTGTGGATAGATATACACTGTGTTTACTGTTTTACAGTCTAGCATATTCTTATTCACACCATTGATATAACAGCTATGACCCTGCAAAGATTCTTCCTGTGCATATATAAATATAAATATTGAGCCAAGTCAAAAAGAGCAGGGTCAAAGGTTATATGACTCCTGTAGTTAAGGGTAAAAACTCAATTGTTTATTTTGCAACTAATTTTTAATAAGAAGGCTGCTTCAATCATTGTGTAGTTACAGCATTACATTCTGTAAACAATATTTTAAAGCATTCTAAACAAACATTTAAACAATTGATTCTTTATCCTTGTCCGGCGAGAGAAGACAATCTATAGCCTCATCACTTTTGCTTGAGTCCGTCATCTTCAGCTGGAGATTATCACTCGCACCTCTGGTGACGCTGTCGTAGGATGGAGGGAAAGATGTGGAGGACAGAGTTTCTGATTTGTCTATTGGCCTGCCATAGTTTTCGTTCATCATGAACGCAATAAGACCCTCCTTCTCGGGTGCATCGTCCTCGAGGATGCTGCTGTCAAAAGTTCTGTGCCGGTACAAGTAAGATGCCTGCTTCATGGAGCGCCGAAACAAATGTCTCCTGTAGGCCCGCTGGATGATGATGGCGGAGACCTCTTCTTGTTTCCGTCTGAGAGTTGTTGTAATTGGTTCATAAGAGATCTTAGATGGATTCGCTGCCATGAACTTTTCTTCCATCTGTATTTTAAGGGCATCCATTTCTCCAGATTCTCCTAGCACCCTTTTTGTAAAAGCAAACAAAATATCCAAGCAATGGATCCTATCTCCACTGACCATGGGCAGGTCCATTGCTATGAGTTTGATTTTGTTTGGTTTCGCTATGCGCAAAGGTTCTGACAGCGCGTCTGCAAAGTCTGAAAGTGCAGAATACTCAATAAACTGAGTGGCTTCAGGGTCAAACTTCTCCCAGATTTCATAGAACATATCAAAATCATCCTCGCTTAGAGGCTCTGTACTTTCCTCAGTGGCTACACTGAAGTTCTCTAAAATAATGGCTATATACATGTTTACAACAATGAGAAATGATATAATGATATAAGTAACAAAGAATAAAATCCCTACAGCAGGGCTTCCGCAGTCTCCCTTTGAACCATTTGCATTTGGAAGGTTTGGGTCGCAGTACGGTGGTCCAGTGTTTAAAATAGGGTTGAGAAGACCATCCCAGCCAGCTGACGTTGTGATTTGGAAGAGACAGAGCATGCTGTTAGCAAAGGTTTGGAAGTTGAACATGTCATCAATCCCATGCTCCTTCTTAACATAGGCAAAGTTAGCCATGCCAAAAATGGCATAAATGAACATGACCAGAAAAAGCAAGAGGCCAATGTTGAACAGAGCAGGTAGGGACATCATTAAGGCAAACAGGAGAGTTCGAATTCCTTTGGCTCCCCGGATGAGTCTTAGGACCCGGCCAATCCGAGCCAAGCGAATGACTCTGAAGAGTGTGGGAGAGAAGAAATATTTCTGGATGATGTCAGAAAGTACGGTGCCTTGAAAAGAAAAGAGACACACAGTGACTTAGTACATGGGTAATAACCCCAGGCTTCCCTTTACAGCAATTAGTCAGGATGATGGACAAAATCAATGAAAAATTCCCCAAACTGGAAGACCTATGATAAAGGGAATGGTATTGTTGTTAGCATTTCATGCCCATTTAATCCATGCAAACTTTTGAGACTATGAGCAAAGGTGTCAATGGTGGCTGTAGTTTTATTAAGGGAAAGACAGTCTGTTGGGAATGAGAAACCAGGATCAACCCAGACGGGACATACCTATCTGCAGCTTTTGGTCATGACTTTTCGTCATGACTTTTGGTCACCTGAGCCATTTATCCTGAGTGTAGCTGGTCAAAATTTTTCTGATTTGACAATATTTTTGTCTTTAAAGTGTTTGTGAGTCAGCACTGAAAAGCTGGTGAGCTGGACCAGTTTTTCTGAGCCACCACCAGAACAGTGCAGGTTTCTACTGGAAATCCGCTTGGTTGTTTGTTTGCTTATTAAGTTTTCCAGTTTCCCCAATGGGCTGGGAGGGAACTAAGGTCTAAGATTGTACTAGCAAGGAAATGAGCTTGCATCCCTGTAGCTAAGCTCTTCCTGAAGGAACAAAGCAGCTTGGTTCAGATTGTCTAATGCCAACAGTCCCTGGCTGCACTGAGCCATGCTGAGTTCACGTCTCCCAGCCCAGCCTGGGAGAGGGCTGACTGGCATGGCCTGAGTCCTCTGACACTGAAACAACCTGGCTGATCACGGGGCAGCACTATGACCAATGTGACAGCTCTGGTTAACAAGCTGCTATGGGCATATCCTGAGCACCCAGCGTCAAGGCTCTGGTGGCAGCTGTATGGTAGTAATGATCCCTGGGTGACCCAAATCTCCGAAATCCAGGTGGTCTTGGCTGATCCAAGGCCTCCAAAGCACAGGCTGCTCTCTGGGCATTAGGGTTCTCCTGCATTGGGACCTTGCAGGCTCCCCAGTCCACCAGAGAGGGTTTAGAGCAACAGAAGAATCAGTCAATGAGAAGATAGCCCTGTTTTCCTAACACGACAGTTTTCATTCACCTTTTCCCTCCTTCAAAATGGAAACTCTATTGGAAGAGCCAAATTTCTGAGTTCCTTCTGCTCACTGGATCAGCTGGTCATCTTCCAGTGGCTACTTTGTTTCCAAAGTCAATGAGAACTCTTTTGGCGTGTTTTCAGATTCACATTTGACCTGCACTTCTGTAGCACCTAACATATGATCTATGTTTGGGGCTGCAGGACAGCAAGAGGCACAAATTAACAATAAAACCATGTCTCTCTGTTTTGTCCCTTGGGTAGATGAGGATTTGGAGCTCCAGAGACAACAGGGCTGAGAACAGCCAGACTCACTGCGCCTGCCCAAACCTGCCCTGAAGAGCTATTTCACACTGGTGTAATAAAAAGTAAATAGCAAAACAATAGCAGTCTGCATGTGTGCTTTTCATCTGGCTCTTTTACTTTTCTGTCTTTGGTTGTTGTGTAGAACTGGGTTTAAGTGTATGGTGCCAGTTCTGGACCATGTTTTATCACCAGGAACCATTAAGTGTAGATTGAAACCAATACTGTGGTGTGATAAACCTCATAATTTTGCTGATCATACAAGTTATTGTTAGGCAGTATTATGTTGTATTGTTTAAATATTAAAAATATATGCTTAGGATCTAATTCTCTGAGTTGGAAGTGTATTTTGTTGCATGAAGACTTCAACTTTATCTAATTAAATTTATGTCTGCCTTTTTAACTTGGGAGTTTGGGTGAAAATCCAGATTCACCTACCTACGATAGACAGAATCACAACGACAAAGTCAAATATGTTCCAGCCATTGGTGAAGTAGTAATGTCGCAGAGCTAGCATTTTGATGATGCACTCCCCAGTGAAGATGGCAACGAAAAGCATGTTGATTTTATGGAGGATGTTCACTTTTTCTTGACTTTGGTCATCTGTTTCCACCATCATGGTAACCATGTTAAGGCAGATGAGAATCATGATGGAGACATCAAAGGCTTGTTTTGAGACGACATCAAAAATAAAACCTTGGTATTTGTTCTGGAGGAAAGGAGAAGATTTAGTTAGGAAATTTGAACTGTGTCAAAATGATGACATCATTGTCTCCTGATTGATCAGAATGTAGAGGAAAACAGACATTGTACTGCTTCTGATTAGAACTTTATAAACATGAAGATGATGACAAATGGTTGGATGATAGAGTTTTCAAACCCATTTACTCCTAATACTTCTTGAAACTACTGAAAAAATACCTTGGACTGGGGCCATGAATTTGTTCAATGCAGGCATGTGGCCACTACCAATGACTATATACGTAAATTGGACTTTTAGTCAATATTGCAGAGCAATGGGAATTTTGTACCACACAGGTGACTAGACCTGCAAATACTGTCCAAAATCAAAACATGTAAATACTAAGCGGCTTTCATCTGAAAGCAATCACTCTTCCTACACTGGGAAGTTGAATTTCATTCATTCCATTAAATAAATATTCAGCTATTACACATAGTTCAACTGAATTACACCATTCTTACCAGTGGCCTTGGGATTGGCTTTTGAGGTTTCTTAGATCCCAACTTTTTCATTGCATTATAATACTTTTTCTGTTCTTCTGTCATAAAGATATCCTGGCCACCTAAGTATAGGGTGAGAACAAAGCTATTATTTTTGATGAAAAGAGGTCCACTGCCTCCATCCAAAGTTCAGGGCTGCATTCTCTTCTGTTTTCTTATTTCCCTTTTCACGTAGCTTTCATCAAAACAGCTAAGAAGGGCTTGATGCGATGCAGTGCTAGGAGCTGCTTATTGCATGGAGGTGACGGGCAGGAGACACAGCAGTGCAGGCAACCCAGGAGGAGCAAGACTCAGATTCTGTCTGCACTCAAGATAGGTGCAGGGAAAGAGGGAAGAATAGAAGAACCTCAGCCCTTTTTTTAGAGCCTACAAAGCAGTGAGAAACACAGCTCTTGGGCCAGACTGCTCCTCCCTGACCCTGGCTGCACGTTGGGGCAGAGGTGACAGGTTGAGGAGAACAGGCTGCACTGCTCTGAGGGACAGTGGTGTTTGGGCATGGGGGACACCGGGGCGGTCTGTGCCCCTGTGGCAGCATTTGTGCCAGAGATCCCGTCTGCATGGAGCTGCTTCACTGCTTTTTGTGGGGAATATAATTCCCCAGCCTGTATTTTCAGGATGCTTATCCTACGGGGTCATTAGGGGCTGCTACAACTGTGTTTTTGTAAAAGTCCTGCAAGGTGGTTTCTGCGGCTGTTCTGTCAATGCTAATCTCGAAGCTAATGTGGCAAAGCCACTGCTTATAAATCTATCCATTGCCCTGATCTCTGCAGCAATCACAAGGTGATCTGTAGCATATGCACTACTTATCTTTTTCTTTTGTTGGTTAAAATTGTCAATGATGACACCAATGAAGAGGTTCAATGTGAAGAAAGACCCGAAGATGATGAAAATCACAAAGTATAGGTACATGTATAAATTACATTCCCATTCAGGCTGCTCCTCACACTGCAAAGGGAAAAAGGAAAATGCGAAAATGACACCATCTCTGCACATATCACAATATTAATGCAGTTAAAAGAAAAGTGTCCATCAGCAATAAAGATTATGAAACAGGAATAATAGTGTAACTCCCACTAGCAGAGGTAGCACTCCACTGTCTCTGTTTGAAGTTTACTACTGGCATCTGCAATGCCATGGTCATTTCAGCTACATTTCACAACACTGCACAGCAATCACACTCCTTCAGAAAGTGCAACTTCAGAATAACTCCTATAAAATGTTCTCAGTCTGAACCCAGAAGGGGAAAAGAATCAATTTTCTGATTATCCCTGATCTTATATGAACTGATGGTACTTATAAAAAGCAAAAGTATGATTGCAGTATAATTAAATGCTACTTAAAAACACTGTATTAAGAGTCAGTGTATTTAGAAGTACAATTTTTCTTTTATGAAGGGTGGAAATGAAAAAGATCTCTTGCTGAAGGACTGAGCAACACAGTCCAATAGCCTCAAATCACATGTACCCCATTTGGCAAAAATGCCCCACCAGCTCCAGGTGTCTAACCAAGATGCCAGAAGCTCACATTTCCCTAAATGCCCTATTTTCTCATGTGTAACCCATGTGTTTTATTCAGTAGCAGGGAGGACAGACACACATGTACATGTAGTACAAGAATAAATCAACATCAGGAGCTATGTACTACAAAGGCAATTCTCCGCTCCTCTGATGTCATGAGGTTTTTTCACGCCTTATTTCTCCCTTTAGGGCTCGACTCCCTGTTACTCAGTTCAGACTGCCAAATTCCCAGTAGCCAGTGTAATCTCATTCCTTTAATATTATTAAAAGAGCTACAACATCTCCTTCAATATAGAAAAAAAAAAAAAAAACAAAAAAAACCCCCAAACCAAAATCATGCATTATATAGCAAAGGAAAAGCCCTATTTTAATTTTTTTTTTTTTTTTTAAGGAAACCTGAAAGCTGAATAGGATGTAGGTAGAAACTGGTTGCCAGCACAGGGCAGTCACCAGCGCCCAGAGCTCCAGCACATCTCAAGCCAGAGGTGGAAGTTCACACAAGCTTCTTTCCCTGCCAAGAGCTCCTCCACCCTCTTTGAGTGGAGCTGCTGGTTACAGAAGAGAAACTTGCTGAAGGTGAAGATATAGGAGGTGTTGAGGATGGGGATTACAAGGGAATGTAATTTAAACCCAATGCTTTTAAAGAGGTTCCAGTTATCAGAAGTTAGATCTGTGGAATATATGGCAGTCAGAGGGAGAGTGGAAGAAACAGAGAGGACAATTTAGGTTTTTGGTAGACTCAGTCCCACTCTGGAGCTGCCTCTCTGTGCTGGGAGTTTTGCAGTATGAATAGATAAATCAGTTGTGTAGAAGTGAGGGCTGCATTCGTTTTAATCTCCGGGTCATGATGCTTCAGAACCAGCTGCTAAAAAAGAAGGTCGGCAACTGTCTCAACCAGAGTAAGACAGGGACTGGCAACCTGCATGTATTTTGTTGTTGTTGTTAAACACCATGAATGTTGCAAAAGTCAATGGAAAAGGAAATTATTAATTTCCTTGTGGTGACCTACCTCTCGTGAATCCACTGCTGCATACATAATGTCCATCCAACCTTTAAATGTGGCCTGGAGAAAAACACACAAAATACATAATTAAGCATATTAAATAAGCATATCTTGAAATGATTATATCACTTCAGTGGTGAGTTTTCAAAAATGCAATGTTGAGCATGTTCTTCACAGTTTATGAATTGCCTCTCCTTTAAAGCAAAATGCATCCATGGGTTTATATTCATTTAGACATTGAAAATCATTTCAGAATGGTTTTCTCCTGGATTCTCTCATTCATCTTTTCTGATTTTCTGCAGTTGTAGGGATAAACCAGAGGTTTTTAAATGAGATTTTTAAAAAGGAGAAAAAACATGGCAATTAAATCTTTGGAAGCCTTACCCTTAAAAAATTCAAGTAATGAAGAGATATGGCTACATGGGGAAACTCTGAGTGCTGTCCTGCACAAGTCTCAGACCAGGTTAGATGGGTCCCATCCATATTGCTTGTTCAGACTGATGTGCAGTGACTACGCTGTAGGATGCCACCGAAGCTTGGATTCTGCCCTCTTTTAAAATGGGGTAAATCAAGGCAATGTCAAAGCCCAGGGAGATGCATAAATCATAGAATCATAGAATCGTTTAGGTTGGAAAAGACATTTAAGATCATCCAGTCCACCATTAACCTACACTACCAAGTCCATCACTAAACTAATTAAGGGTAGAGTAGCAATTTCATGTTTCCTGGCTTGGTGGCTGGATTATTTATAATGAAACACCTGCTGTGAGCCTGGCCCTGGAAACTCTATCTGCTTTACTGTTCAGATTTTCTTTCTTTAAATCAATGTTTCTAATTATCATTTTTTTTATTTGTTTAAACAAGGAGGGACTCCACAGAAGTCAGTGTCTGTTACTGGAACTTGCAGTGGAGAAGGGGCAGTGACAATACTCCTAGGAGAAACATGCAGAAGTGATTTTTGCTATTCTGTAGCAAAACCATGACTCTCTGTCTTCAATATATGCCTCTCATTAGACACAGCCTGATGCCAAACATAGTTGGCATTAGGTCTGACTTTGGCCTAAGCCACATTACCTTTATATTAGTCCTCTGGGGTTGTTTCTCATTTCACTTCTGACCCATTTAGACATACCCTGGATTTAAAATCAGCGTGAGCAGATAATGAGGCATTTTTAGATTTATTGATTTAATCAGATTTACACTAGCATGCGTGAAAGATCCACACCCTTTTTTTTTTTTTTCTAATCTTACTGACACTTAGGTTGAATTTTCTCCATGGTGTGCAGGCACGCAATTCCAGATAATGCTAATAGGAATTTAGCCAGCGGTTCCCAGGAGAAACCCAGGTATTTGTGTTGAGCAAGGTACATCCAGCAGTTTTAAAAATGCTCTGTTATACATTCTCTATTATTAAATAAAATTCTGGAGGTAACGCTGCCTTCTCATTTCCCTCTGAAGGCTACTGAGCCAGAGGAAAATGTTGTACAAGAGGTCAACCATATTTCTCATGGAAGTATATATAAAATAATGTTTGAAAGGTTGCATTCATTTTTATCTACTGGTTGAAGGAGATTAAACCCCCCAAATCAGAACCCTTTGGAAAATCTATTCCATGGTACTGTGTGTTAAAAACCACTTTAGATGTAAAGTGTTTATAGGACCGATCAGCAGTTTTATTGAAACAAATAATTATTTGAACCTGTCATGCTGATCCTCCTTAACTGTTCTAATATTTTCCTTTTTTGCAATTCTCTTTCTAATCTGATGAAAGATTTTATGGTGTCTTCACAGCCGCTCGCAGCTTCCAGCTCGAAGAGCCGTTCAGGAAGGGTGGACGGGATGAAACAAGTAATCCTTTTCCCTGTGGCACAAACCAATATGATCTTAGCCTGTACTTTTCTCCCACTTGGGAGGAAATCTTTTCTCTTGAGTAGCTATTTTACCCCTCGATGTGTACCACAGACATGAGAGACTACTGCAAGGCACAGTGGTTTATGGCGATAATAGATGATGAAGTGATCTGACAAAAATAAGTATTAAGAGAATGAAGTACTGTGATTTTCCATTTTTCCCAGTTGTCCAGAAGTAAGAGAATTAAAAATCCATGGGACTTCTGGAAAGCTTCCCTAGACACTTCATCTGCAGAGGGTAAAAGATACTGAGAATGAAAGAAATATAACACTGGGGAAAGAAATTATTTATCTGGAATTAGTAACCACTTACACTCTGGATAAGGAAGTGACAAAATCTTCATGGGAGTGTTTGTGATATTATCCTGCCTGGAAGCTATCCAGAGAAACACCATTTTCTACTGAAACTGTCATGTGATGAGATTATCTACTGATAAACTCATCTTGGGATGGGATTACATTTTGTTATTTGACTGGTGGTTAAAGCTGCAATGCAGTAAATTAGTGAAGAGGAAGATAGGTGGGATGGCACTACCTGCCCTCAAACCATTTATTGTATAACCAAATGGTGCCTTAAAATAAAACAAGCCTTCAAATCTGCGAGGGGGATTTTTTTTTCTGGAAGAGGACTACAATAGTGCAATAAAAATGGCCGCTTATGACAGCAGAACTACTGGTCTTTGCATTTCTGAAATGCTTCTTTAAGCATTACTATTGGTGAGAGAAACTTCTGAAAGCTAAAACAGAGCCACCAACAGTACAACCAAACTACACATATTTAAGTTGGCTATGTCAACTCCACTACCTGCTGGCTTTTCTGTTGAATTTTTCAGTTTGTTTGATTTCATCGTAACAGCAATTTTATATGGAACATTTGTTTTACATTTATTTTGCATTAAGTCGATTTGCAGAGGAGGGCACTACTGAGCGTTGGACCCACCAGAGCACCCCGGAATTCTGCCCTGCACTGGGCTATGCAGGCTCCAAGGACACTGCCTCTTCTCCCCTTGAATTTCTACCAGTAATTCCTCACGGAAATACTGCTTACTCCTGATCTTTGGACACACTGAGAAATCTACCCTGGCACACCAACTTATGGTTTGTTCAGAAGCACACTTTTTTTTGCACATTTTGCATCCACAGTGAAAGTAAAATCTAGCATTACAGTTTACAGCAGTGCAAGAGATCATGTAACTCAGTAACTTTAGACACACGCCGCTGTCTCATGACAATTTTGTAGCTGATTTATGAGCTCAGTCGTGACTTCAAACCTGGCATGAGGGGGTGATTTAACTCCACAGCTCCTGATTGCTGTACTAGGTCTAGGACTGCTTCTGTTCTCTTCCCATTCCTTATCTGGAGTCCCAGAGTGACAAAGAGTTGTAGGACATACTAGATGTAAGTCTGTTCCTGTCTAAGGAGAACTTTTCTGAGCAAGCCAGGTGCTGCATGAGAGACCACTTGTTTTCTTGGTGTTCTTCAACAGATTGCTGAAATTTCAAGATATGTTGCAAAAAAATATGTGGAAGTGATCATAACATGAAGGAAATTATTCTGCAAGGGAAATCCAAAACTCCTACTGGAAATTTAAGATATTTCTTTGTTCAGCTCAAATACAGATTTATAGAACATAGGTGCTGTGACCTGCAAAGCAATTCTGGGACTATAGAAAAAGCATTACTGAAGCACTGGGTTGTGGCAATAATTTTTTCCTAATAGATTAGGGTGTTAAGGGTGTTAAATCCCCAGAAGAGTGAATCATCCTTCTTGCAAATTAAAAAGTCGTAATAATAAAGATCTTTTCCTCCCTGTGAATGAGGCATTTCTCTTGCTTGTAGAGTGAGCAGACACTACCTCCTATTTTAGTAATCTGTTGTGAGACAGCACATTTGTTAGTTGGAGAAGCTTGAAACTGGACTGACCACTTCACGTGAATGTTTTCCCAGACACATTAATTCAAAGTGGCATCTTCAGAACAACATAATGGATCCTAAACAAGGTAGGAAAAGTGCAAAGGATATTTGGGGAAAGTTGCATGCGGTTCTCAACTACACTGTTAGAAAGTTTGCCTCTGGATAGTAGTAAGCCTTAAAGTTTCCATAGTAGGAACTTCTCATTTCTTTCAAGGATGCCGTAGAAGTGAAGACATTAGGCAGACAGATTTGGTTTATATAATTCCATTTGGATTTTCAGACACATTCAGGCATCCAAAGGTAAATTCAGAGTCATTTAAAGGGTGTGTTGCAGCAGCTGAAAATGTCAACAGTCAAAAGACAAGTCCCACTTAAAAGCTCCTATTTTGGATCCCAGAGGGTTGTAACCAAAATGCTTATCTCATCATTGCTACGCACTGTCTCAGCATGCACAACGATGCATCAATGTGTCTGTCTCTTTAGGAGAGCTGAGCTGTTAACTGATCTCCTGCAGTTCCTACGGTAGTTTGCTCATGAAATGCGACTCCATATGGAGGATATTTGGCAAGGAGCACACGTAACCGACACTCCTCAGCTGGAGTCTACCAAAAGACATCCAGATGTTTGGGCCCTTTCTCTGTGGGTGTCATCTTTACACTTTATTGCCTAAGACTGTCATTAGCAGCAGACATAAGAGCTCCAGGTGCAGGATGAAAATTAAAATCCATCCCCTAATGGCATCTGCCTCCTGCACTTCCTCCTGGAAGAAGGAGCCAGCACCTGCCACAGAAGCTGAGCAAGGTTTTAGGGCTCCCTCATTTCCTGCCATAATCAGTTTGCCCAGCTTGCACAGGCTGTACATTTATGGCACTTATATTGTACTTCTGCAACTGGAAGACCTACTTCCCTGCTACCAAATACAGGATCACAGTTTTTAAAGAAACCTGCAAGGTCATCAAGTCCATTTTCAGCTGCAAAACAGCAGTACTAGACTGTCCCTTCAAAAATGTGCTGAGATCCACCTTACAAACAGTTATGGTTTTGCTGCTGTCACTGATCCCAACAGAAGGCAGGCCCATCTGCTGAATGCAGCCAGTATCACCAGTGTCAACGCCCAGGAACTGATACTGCAGAACAGTAAAAGAGACTGCCTAAGGATACTCCTTATGCAATGGCAATTTATGAAAAGTTGCAGATTTTCAGAAAGCTGGAGCTTAAGTCATAAAAGAAATGGTGAAGGAATAAGTACTACTCTGGTGGAGTTTTTTCACCAAACAAACTAGGCTTCTCTTAGGCAGTCATGGAGGAGATAAGAAGCTTCAGGTGAGGCATAATGTTTTAAACCTGGAAATTTTTGCTTGGCCAGATTGGATGTTTCAATAAAAGACAAAGAAAGCACTATATAGAATCGAAAATCTAATTAAAGTTGTTCAAAGTGAATTAATCTACCCTGCATGCATGAACTGAATATCATAATTACATGCAAAAGATAAAAGCTCTTGCTCTCAGCAAGTTCAGCTTTATGTCATGGAAAGAACCAAAAGTAGTTGTGCCCATTCTAACCTTTCTGCTTGCCAGAGGGTATGAAAGCAAAGATTCGATGGACAGCGGTGAGAATATCTCACACTCAAGTGTATGTGTACCAGGAACAGAGTATATAATGATAAGCATTTCTTACAAGAAAGGAAAGCTACTTCATGAAGATATTTCATGTGTCTGTGACAGAGAAAAAAAGATCTGGGAGAAAACAAATTTGCATCACAGGAAGGAGAAGGGCTGGCAGATCTGATAGGGGACCTGTGGGAGGCTCATGCCCTCTTGGAAGGGCAGGCAGGGGCCCGGGGCTGTACCCTTCTGAATCGCAAAGGGTGGATGTCTATATGTGACAAATGAATTGAGGTCCCAGCGTCAAGTTTTTATGCCAGAAGCAAGGAATGCCATCACAGGTGCTTCAAAATAGTAACCTCCCTGTCCAAGGATGTAGTGAGGGACTTGTTTCACTCTGTGTGCATAAAATGCAACACAACAAACACTCCCAGTGCGTGTCCAGCCCTTGACATCACTAAGCTTCAGAGCAAATTAGGAACAATGGAAGTAAATACCATTACCATTATTTCACATGAGGACCCCATGGAATTGAAACACAATGCAATTTGTGTAAAATCACTCAGAAGTCCAGTGGCAGAGCTTGGACAAGAAGATGGAGTCTCCTGTGGCTCTATCCATTAGGTCATGCTGCATCACAACACAGTAAATGTCTATGCATACAACCTGTTTATCCATGTTTTACATTTGCTGCTGAAAAAGGTTGTAAAAGTGTCTGTCTTTATAGATGACTTTAAACCTCAACAGTTTCTTCTCTGATATGCTCTCACCACCCTTCCAGAATGAGCAGGCTGTATGGAGTTGCAGCAATATAATCACCACAGCGTTCCATAGTTAGGTTCAGTCTGACTCATTATGTTAGCAGGTGGAAATGAGGTGAGGAACCAGAATGAGAGGCACCAGTGTCCTTCTAGAATATCTCCATGGAAGATGAGCAGAGGACTGTAACTTAAGTTTCCCCTGTGACTCCAGCTCTATGCAATAACTTCAGCTGAGTAACTGAAGGTACTGTAACTTCATTTTTTCCCAGCAAGGTATAGTGAAGTCCCAGGCAGTTCAGGAAGGCCAGTGCACTCTGTCTGCATGAACAGTCCTTCCTGGACCACGACTTTTTGTTTCTGGAACTGAACTTTGCTCTGGATTACAATATTGACAAAATGGTCTTTAATTCACCTCAATATTCCAATCACCTCCAGAGCATTACATTAGTGATGCACCAGAAACTCAAATTAAAACCAGAAGCTGCCATACATATCTCTAGGCCAAATTAATACGCCAAATATGACTTATTTACACTTGAGAAAAGGCATTGCCCTGATAGATAAGGCTGAAAAACCCAGAAAAGCATAGAGGTTAACCTGAATCTTTAAGCTGATGATTTCAATGGGAACAAGCAACATTTGCCCATTAGTTCAGTTTCCGGCGGTCACACTTACCACTTGTAGCAGAGCCAGGTACCCAGCACCAACATTATCAAAGTTAACTTTAACTTTTGTCCAGTAAAACGTGCCTGACACGTTATAGAGTATACAGTCACTCATGTTGTTAATAATTTTGGAGTCTAAAGGCATATCTCCTTCTGTCTTATTAATGCACTTCCCAAATTTCCCAGCAAACAGGTTCACTCCCATGATGCTAAAGATAAGCCAGAAGATGAGGCAGACGAGCAGAACATTCATGATGGAGGGGATGGCTCCCACGAGGGCATTGACCACCACCTTGGGTGAAACAGGAGAGAGAAAACAGAATTAATGTCAGCACTTCTATAGACACTTTGCTAAGAAGCTGTTGTGCACCCTTGATTAACTAGGCTGAACCCTCACACGGTGACAGGTGGATAACTACTAACACTACCTAAGGAGCCAGACCACCATTAAAGGCTTCACACATGATCATTTTTTTCCTCTTGTAATTGAAGAGCTAATCTGTTGGCTTCCCACCCATGGGATGATGTTTTTTCAAGAGGAATCTTTGAGTTCAGGAGCAATCTGTGAAGTCATCATGACCTCTCAGATCCTACTGGATAATATACTTCAGTCAAACCATCTCTAATAATCATACAATTAATTGGCAACTGCTGGGGTACATCACAGTGTCTCAAAATAGACCAGAAAAGATTTCTGAAATCTTTTACTGAACTCAGGCCTCCATAGTCCTTGGGATGTGAACTCTAGCTGTGATAAAATTTGCTTATTTAAATAATAACTGATTGAGACAGACTGTAATAAGCCATCTTCCCCTGTCTGATCAGTATGCATGATTAAAACAGTGAAACCATTCTAATTTAACAAAAAATGTATTATTTTTCCCTGTGACATGCTGTAAAGTTCCTACACACCAACCCAGGAAGGGCTGTATACCCTTGTGTAAAACCATACATTTTCTGGGGGGAGCACACTATCACAAAATGTAGTTTTCCCCTTCCTGTGTCAGCAAGGTTTTTCCATATTCACAGCTTTTGGAGATGCTGCCGTTGCATGGTCCAGGCAAAGCTGCCTGCTAGCATTGCTGCAGGAACCAGCCTCACTACATGGATTTGTCTCCATCTCTGTCTCATGCTTTGGAGATTAAAATCTGGTAGGCAGATACTAAGCTCTTCCTCTTCTCCACCTACATTTCTGAAACTGAGACAAGGTGATATTGATCCATAAAAATAAAATTTTATTCAATTGTGAAGCTTATTATGGAAAATGTCAGCTCTTGTTTTCTCTCATGTTAGTGTCCAATTTTCTGACAAGCTAATAATATAACATTCGTTTCCCCATCATTTTTGCATTGCTGAGGAAGAAAAATACCCGGAAGAGTGAAACAGTTTTCATGCATGTATAGCAGCAGCTTCATCTACAATATACAATACAAAATTATGTAGATCTTTCAAAACCCACATTTATATTTTATGCATTTATGAATGAAGCTAATTTTCACACAGGAAAAGCTGCTTGACCATTTTTTTTTTTTTCCTGTATAGGCCTAATCCTGATAAATTTTCAATTTTTTTTTTTCTAATTTTATCTTTTAGTTTTGGATGTTAATCGATTTCTAACTTCATTGTTTTAAGAGCAAATTTACCATGATAACCAAAATGCCAGGTAATTTCCAAATCAAGGGCTTATTTGGATATAGCCTCGGCCCTTGTCAAAGTAGCTTTCATTTGCTGCTATGACGGACAATATTTTTGCTCAATTTTAATCCACGCAGCACAAAGCCACTGCACTTATGTTACGTATTCTGGTGAACCCAGCTCCTACCCGCAAGCCCTGTGACAGGACACAGACATCCAGGTTTCAGCAATGCAAGCGATGGCCATGCCTGCACCCTGCTTTTTTCCTTCTGCTGAATTATGTTCAATGGCTTGTAGATAACAAAACACGACATGAGGCTGGAGCAAATCCTGTAACACCTCTCCAAATGAATTATTAACAGGGGGTTTCATTCTTCTCTCGCTGCTTCTGCTCTTACACCAGAGTGATGCCATCTGATCTGCTGAAAGCACTCCTGATTTGCACCGAGACAGGTGAGAGGACAATAAAGACCTGAATCTATAAAGGCAAGTTATTTTCATAAATTCATGTTAAAAGTTCAGCTGCAAACCTTGCCATGGGAAGGGCGGAATTTCTGTTGCATGTAGGAACAGCAACATACATAGCCACGTATAAGGAAAGGTTTCATACCTCTTGATTTCCCTCAATACCTTTATAGGAGAAGTCGTCTTCTAGGTGACTTCTTTAGAAACCATAGTGGTGCAAATCTATAGCTTATGGTCCAGCTATAGATTTGGTGGCCCAGCTCTCCTGATCTCAGGGGCCACCTTTTCAGCCGCAGCCAATTCAGATTTTAAATCCAGAAATAGACTTGCACGATGCATTAATCCTCCCTTTGCCACAGCAGAGCCCACCAGACTTTCCACACTAAGTTCAGGCCCAGGCTTTAACTCCTACCAAAGCCTGGGGACAGCTTTTGAAAAGACATCTAATTTACAGTGTCATGATTTCAAACAATGGACAAAAATTTTATTATTAGATAATCTATTCCTGGTGTCCTTTCCCCTCACTGTTAGAAACAGGTACTGTATTTTTAGGTTGAATTTGTTGAACTTGAGGCACCAGTCATCAGCTGTTAGTCATCTATCCCAGCCTTCACTGCGGGTGAGTTGCCACTGAACATCACTTTAGGTAATTAAAAAAACAGACCTTCTTTCTAACTGTCATCATTCCTTCAGGTTTCTAATCATGCTGCAGAGACTTTCCCATTTTTAAAAGCTCATTTCCAGCAGTCTCATGGAATTCCAGTATTGAAGCACTGCTCTCTCCTTCTGTTTGCTGTGTTATTTCTCTGCATATTGAGGGATTGTATCAGTCACCTCATTTATTGCACCTGCCCAAAAGCTTGTGTCCTGTTGAACAGTCATCCCAATCCCTAAGTCCTTCTCAGCCGCTGTTTTCCAAGAAACATCCCCCAGAGTGACCTACTTTCCTCCTCCTGAGGTGTACGATATATGTGGTTTTATTAAAATGCATGTTGCACCATTGATCTGTTTCTCACTGTGATCTGGATCAGGCAGTATAATTCCCTTAACCGTAATATCACTTACTACTACGCTCACTTTGTGTGTTGTCAGCAAAGGTTTTATATTTTCTTCCAGATGCTGTTAAAGTCCAGATTAAGGACAGGTCTTATTCTGAAGGATCCCTCACTCCTAGACACTCATCACCATATTTACAGTGTCATCACTGTTTACAATTACTTTTCAAGATCCATCACCCATCTTAAATTAATTTAAAATATGTTTACTTGGCTTAATACAAAGCTCGTGCTTTTATCACCATGTCCCGTGGTATCAGTTTCCTCTCTGAAATCTAAGGATATTATATCAGTGCAGTTACCATCATCAGCATAATTTGTAATCAAATCAAAGGACCATATCAGTTTTACAAGAACTATTCCCATGAAATCATGCTAACTAGCATTAATTATGCTATCTCTTTCCTGCATGTATCTTGTAGCAGTCTCACCATGACTTTGCCTAGTATCATTTTCACATTAGATGCTCCATCGTCATCCCACTTGTCCTTTTAAAATACTGCAATAACCTCTCTTGCTGGGAAGAAACTTGCAGGGAAGTGGCACCTCTGAAACAATTCCCTGATGGACAACAAATGAGGAGACATGGGACACTTCACGATTCAGGACAGGCAGACATAAGTTAATTTACACTGGGCTCTAATATGGCCTGGAAAGTGGTGGGTGATGCAGGGTGGTAGCACGCGCATGGCACCAGCATCTGCCATAACTGTGAGGTGGGATACTGGTCTTACTGGGGTCTTTTTGGGGGACAGAAGGGCAAGATGGCAACTGTTCAGCCTTATTTTGCAGACCTCTCATGGGATGGGAGCTGCTGAGACTTGTGTCAACCTCAGACAGGTCCCAGCCTGTTTGGAGACAGGGAAAGGACTGAAGTTTGATGGTAACAGGTCCTCTTGGCCATCCAAGTGCTACTCCGTGCCTTTGCCTCAGGACCAATTGTTTCCAAAATTTAGGTACAGTGTCAATGAAATAAGTCTCTTACTGCAGTATAAATGAGAACTTTCTTGTTCCTATTCTAGCCCCGCAGAAATCTTTCAGTTATTCAAGAAAAAGACATTATAATAGACCAAAATGTTATTATTTTCTTACTGTCAGTGTTTGCTTCTCAACATTATCATTATTTAATCCATCAGTGCACTGGCAATTTTCCTGTGCATTCTGGAGCATATGAACTCATAATAATGAAAGGTCTAACTGTTCCTAGTCATGTTAAGTGTGGTTAGACAAACTAAAAATAAAATGATTTGATTTTCCAATAGCACGTATTCTCAATTACACTTTATCATAGTTTACAAGCTAATTCACTACCTCTGATAGTTCAGAAAGACTGAATATATTTCAGCTGCAGCAATCGTACAGGGAAGAAAAGGCATGTTAAGTCAGGGACCAGGGGAGCCTACAAGTATGAGCAAATTCAGAAGAAAACTTGCTGGTCTGATCTGTGTGTCTATGCCACGCAGGATCTCCACCAAGCCAACCTCTTGCAATTCTCAGAAAGCCTCTTGATAGACATGTGAACTTTTTCCACGTTATTTCTTTCCTATTTCAGTTTCACTTTTCCAGTGCTTTGGGCTAGACTTCCCACTGCTTTTCAAGTTTGAATCCAATTTAGTTAAACTGATGCAAAGTCATGAGTGAACATTCTTATGTCAGCTTAGAATATGTTAAAGGAGTTTTGCTTGAACTTGCAAATCCACCAGTAGAAGCTAAGCCTTCATAAGCCAGATTTAAATTGATTTGAGAGACTCTGTGCACAAATCACTCTGGTAATTAAACTAGTGCAGCTTTTGCTGATATCAACGTTTGCTCAATTTGCGTATGTTTAATAAAGACTCAGAGTGAGGTCATCAGATGACATAGGAGTGAGAGCTTTAATTAACGTCAGTAGTGCAACATTGCTTTGTGCCAGCTGAAGATCTGCAGATTGCTTTTGTTTTATTTTGTGAATGACCTTTGAAATATTGCCCCTGTTTGCTGAAAAGATTGTGATGAACAAAGCAATTCAGGTTTGGGTGCCCAGATGAATAGAGCCTCTTGACTCTTTTTGTCTTAGTACTAACATGGAGGAGAGTGGTCTGCAACTAGATTTGTCTGATCTTCATCCACAAAAATAATGTGGTTTAGATAATCAAAAGGTCTGTGGGACAAAGCCGTAGATCCCCAATTCTGGTCATCCACAGAACAGGCAAAGTATGGGTACAGGGTGTTCATAAATTGTTGTGTCACCATATTTCCTGGGTTATCTCAGCTGTTAGGCTCTCTAGCCTTCCGTCTGTCTTACTGCAAGGGTATTGCAATGAGAACAGTTAGAACCATAGAATCATAGAATGCTTTGGCTTGGAAGGGACCTTGAGAGATCACCTAGCCCAACCCCCCTGCTGTGAGCAGGGATTGAACCCGTGTTAATTGCTAGGAGCTCAGAGCATGAACTACGCATTTTAGTCACTGATGATGCAGACCAAGATTTTGTCTACTGGAAATCTTTACCCTGAATATACCTCAATATGAAAGCTGGGTTCATCAGACAAAGTAAGTTGTCTTAGTGTAATTTTATCATAGATTTGCTTTACCTTACTATGCAATCTGCAAGATTAGCAGTAACCTCAGCTCATAAGAACACAGTTGTCATCATCTGCAAGTCATGCATCGTACAAGGAGTTAAATAAGTGCTTATCTAGACAAAATTGATTAGTGTAGCAGGTAGGCTTAACAAATAAACAGGTATGTTGTGCGGATATAGCCATGCTGGCAAAGGAATGCAGGAGGGCAAGAGATGGATGCACAAGATGGAGCAACAAACACAGGCTACATGGTTTTAATGTTAATAATCACATTCCATATTAAAACTGCAATCTGTTCAAAGGAAAGGTTTTATATAATCATTCATTTGCTTTCCCTATCTTTAGCATTTCTAATTTTTGCTTTAGTTATTGGTGAAAAAGTCCTTAAGAACTTTCCCAGTCAGTCTAATTTTAATACATGTCAAAAGCAGGGAGCAAACTTGTAGCTTGGTTATTCCCCTGATGTGCCTTGTAATTGGGAGGTAATTGTTAGCCAGATGCTTCCTTGGCCAAAAAGCTGTTTTTTAAAGCACAATATGACAAGTTAGGCAGCAGGATTAGTTTATCATTAAATCCACCAGAGGATAAAGCTGTAATGACACAATTGCAATCAAGACAAAGGAGGGATTTCTGATTTTGTTGTTTTGATACAGCATTATAATTCATTTCCTTTTGCAGACCAAATGAAGACAAAAACCACATGCAACTGTTCCCTGTTACAAGCTTGATGTCACACAGTTGAGCTCTGATTGATGCTTTATACACTCTTACCCTCATCCCTTCAAATCGTGACAATGCTCTTAATGGTCGCAGGGCTCGGAGGGTCCTGAGGGATTTAATGGGACCCATCTCAGAGTATCCAAGTGTATTGGCAATGAGGCTTATTAAAGAGACCTGAATGGAGACACAAAGCAAAAATCCAATCTGTTAGTACACTCCTGGCATTTTCCTTCTCTTCTGACTTTCCTTCCTGAAAAGGAACAGCTGGTTATTTGGAAACAGCTGGAACAATGGAGGGGAAAAAAACAAACAAACAAACAAACAAAAAAAACCCCAAAAACAAAACACCTTAAATGGAAGCTATTAAATTAGACCAACATAGAAAAAAGTAGGTTTTTACATCCATACATATACAGAACTCTTACCAACTCACAAAACCTTTGTTTCCAGTTTCATGGAAAATTTATAGAAATACAGACTTTCAAAGATGTCAGTTTTCTTTTAACCAAGCACACAGAAATCCTCTTAATGTCAGCCTGCACAAAGTTGATGAGAAAAGAAATCGCTGTTACAAAACCACTGCTCTGTCACGCCTGTGCTGTAGGTTTCCTGTACACTTCTCAATGTGTGTGTATCTTCCGCTATTGAAAATACGATGAGTCACGTAAGCATTATAATTTAGGGCTTTCTGGATGAAGGCACCTGTAAGATCTGACCATTTCCAGCAGAGATAAAAGATTTTAGCATTACCATTCAATTACCAGTCTTAAACTTACTAATTAGAAACAAGTCTTCTAGATTGCTGATAGACATGACTATACCATGGACTCTAAAAGAATGATGTGCCTGACTCTCTGATTCTGCACTTTTTCACTTTTTCTGTTTTCTGCACAGCTTCTAAGGGAGAAAGAAACTTGACAGGTGTTCCACGCTGAGGTTCATACTTCTCAAAGGCTATTTCTTTGAAATAAACTATATACTTCCAAAACTGGAGACAGCATAGAAGGGTTCCAACGCCCTTCAAGTTCTCAGAGCTTTTTTAGGGCCCAGCTGGTCAGAAATATGAATGCTATCTGGCACAGGACTGGAGTCTGGATGAACTGAATGGCAGTGGAGATTACGGGTCAGATTAAGAAACATGTGGAGCAACTGGGTTTTGCATGCTCAAGTCAGCGTTCACAGCCTGAGAATTTAGAGAGTAAGAAACAAACAGCTCTCCAACACCATACATATCACGCCAATTTTCATGGATTAAAAAAGGAACCAAAATTAATCCTCACATATTATAAAATATTCTTTTCTTAGAAGAGAGACAGGTATGTATATTGCTCATTACAGTTCCCTTACTCCCATCTTTAGCTGTTTTCACAGCCTGTTATCACGGTATCAGATTGTTTCACACTCACCAATGTGAGTGTGCAAAGCTTACCTGGAAGGAGTGTGCTTTAATGTCATTTTAAAGGTAGAAGTGAAGTCTAAAAACAGCGATTCTTTTACACTATATAAAAACCAGGTGCTTAATGAAAAAGGAGACTCTACTCTCCCCCATGAAGACAGACAGGTGTGGCGCGAAACATTCCTTTTCATTTTAGGATAGGACGATTTTTCCTCTGAACCCCACAGCTAAGTGACCAGCCTAGCATCACCCATGAGGTTTGTGATAAAGCAGGGTAAGATGAGCCTGGTCCCCTAAGTCATGAGCTAGTGTCAGCTACGGAGCAACCTTTCTCCTGACTGCATTCATTTATGTACCAGCACTGTCTGCACAGCTAAGCATCTTTGTAAAACTTGCTCAATTTGTTAAGTTATTTACTTATTGACGGCTTTATTGTGGCATGTGGGTGACAGCAGGGGGGTTGGGCTAGATGATCTCTAATGGTCCTTTCCAACCCAAAGCATTCTATGATTCTATAAATCCTGCAAGACCAGACTTCAGGTCTGAGCGGGTTACCATTTCTTTAGAGTGCTGTAAATGTCACCCTGAAACACATCACAGGTGGTGTTGTCCTCCTGACACAGATTTACACAGCATTAGATATCTCTTCAGAGGATTAGGCCATGAAGATGTGTGATATTTGGCAATGATTTACAAGGCTAGAGTCAGAATGGAGTTTGAGACAACTTGTTTAAATGCTCGGTTGTTGGTTTTGAAGGTATCCCTGTCAAAATTTATTTATAGGAGAATTACTAATGCAGAGACTTGGCCATTGGGACTTGATTAAAAGTGACCCGGAAGGCTATTTTTAGGAAAAAAAATCAAGCCGTTTTCAAAATTGGTGCTGACTGCCCCACATAATCACAGCAAAAGGTGAAGTCAGCTGTTTCTGTTACTTTTTTTCCTGTTACAAGGCTGTGCAGCCCAGAGCTGCTCTAAGGTTCTGCTTTTGTGCTCTTCTTGGTGTCAGAAACTTGCTGGTGCCCATAAAACACCTCCAGGGTCAACATAACCTCCAGATTCACAATATAGCACACATTTCTAATCTTTTCTCTTTGCAAATAGTTTTGTAGGTTTTTCAGGAAAAAAGTACCTCTGAAGACCAGGCAGCCCTGCAACGTTGTGGAGAGCAGGTGAATCCTAAGGAGTCACTATTGCCTAGAACCATTTCCCATAAAATGCACAAGCCACTGTTGGGCTTTATCTCACCTTCACCTTTCACATTGCACATGTGCTAACAGGTAAGCTACAGAGTCCCTCATCCTCCTGTGCACTTCTTCTGACCCAAGAAACCTTACTGTTGTTCTTATTTGCAGATACTTTGCTTCTAGCATCTCCCTTGAGGGTCCTTCTAGAACCTGCTAGATCTTACTAAGAAGCTTTCACAGCTTTCTCTGTAAACCTTCCTTCCCTTAACTTGATCAAGTAATAATATTCTCCATGTTAGCTCTAGACTGTTCTTTATCCCCTTGACTTGCTGTTTATTTGGCTCCTCTGAAGTGCCCAGGGCGATGCTCTCACTAGATTTTGCTACCTAGCGTGAGCACCAGTGTGCAACCTGGCCAGCAATGAGGGTCCCTAAGGTGGGGAGTGGTCCTCCTAATTCAGTATATGCAATCCTGCCTCCACAGACATTAACAGCAAAAGTCTCACCAACCTCATGGGCTAGGATTTCAATCACGTGGCAGCTCTTCCCTTTTGCTTTCCTCAGGTTGTCTCAGCACAGCCCAACAAGAGCTCAGCCTTGGTGCTATCAGTGACTTCCCAAAATTTGTTCCATCCTGAAAGAGTGGAAACCCTGAAAAGGTCAGCATTTACTGCCTGGTTCAATGGAAGGGTTTCCCAGCAAAGCCCAGGCTCCAGGCAAAGCCACGTTGGTGCTACCTGCACACACTGGCACCTTCTTGCCATTGTGGACAGGCAGGTGGTGTTGAGCTCTTGCTTATCCTGTCATTTAAGGAAGTTTGTTGTTCCTGTTCCTTACTTTCTTTGCCCAAAGATAGTTTTATCTATCTATCTATCTATCTATCTATCTATCTATCTATCTATCTATCTATCTATCGAGATACCGAGATATCTATAAATATACACTATCTACTTACCTATATACCTGTATTTCTATAGTCCTACATCTTCCTACATGCAAATTTATCTATAAAGATTTTACAGTGATTTGAATGGCAGCCTCCTAGAGCTGGGTAAAGGGAGAGATAAATGAACCACACAGCTTTCATTTTTGCCATTTTCAGTGTTATGTTCAAGGAAAAAATGAGAGCTTTTAATTCTTGTGACTGGATTGAACATGAGAAATACCAGCCATGGGGATTACCAGGCCTGTGACTGGTGTTTTGAGAGCTAACCTCCTGTCATCTATGTGGCTTAGTGGCATTAGCAGCTCAGATCTAGTGCCCCGTTGTATGACATTCATATGCATTTCCAGGGAAAAAAAACAAAAAAAATCAATGAATTTAGACTGCTAGAACACAGGCAATGATCTCTGAAAAGAGACTAGCCTCACTGATAACTGTTCACAGTTATTGCTAATATCTTCTAATGAGATTAATGTCTGAATTCCTTAATTATTTTTGACAATCCACTACAACATTACATTTGACCAAAAAGACATTCTGTCCAGGAATCAGGTTGTTTTTTCAGTAACTGCCACATTTTTGTTTTATTATTTTAGTGGAAGATTGTAATTCTTAAGATGAGAAATATGACTCGTATTTGTACCCAGGTGGCACCCATGTAGGGTTAGATTCCCAGTGTGCTCACATTGGTGCTCACAGCAACTCCTCAGTTAACAGATATGCAGCGGTTTTGGACAATTAAAATTGTTCACTATGAACACACAGAGATAAAATTGTACAATATATGTGTTCACTATCGGACAGTGACTTAAGAAATCGACGTTGTAAACCAATATAAACACCAGTAAAACTGTCAAAAGATAATTTTAAGGTTGCAGAAAAACTATTATTAATGTAGGAAGTGCAATAATGCAGTTTCCTTTCAGCACACAGGGGAAATGGTCTTTAATCAGAAGATCACAGACTCTTTTTTTCCCAAGGAGCTATTGCATTTATAACAGTAGTGGAGTTCCTTCCTATATGCATACATTTTAATAGTATATTAGTAACATACACAGACTCCCGAGCCATGAAATTGTGCTGGAGGCAGTAATCCAAAGGGCACAGTCTTTGGGAGCAGTGTGTCACCTGAATCTGACAGTGTTTCCTATAGTGAGGAGGGGGGTTTGAGCTGGAATAGGGTCTGCTCCTTTGTTTTTCATGTTCCTTCCCACCAGCCTAATAACACATCATTTCAGGTAACCAGCGAGCATCCACTGGACCGAGCTGGAAGCAGACCTGAGCGGCACCATTCAAAGGCAGATGCTACTTGGCGTAGACTGCATTTTTTAATTAACCCCAGATCACCACTGAGATGAATTAACAGCAGAGCCCAGGGAACAAAGAGTTCTGCCTGGGCAATGGTAAAAATCCTCCTTGGCTAGTCATATAAATCCTAAAACCCATGAGAACAATGTGAACATCTACTAAATGTCTGCCTGCTGCAGCACACAGCTGTGAGCGATACCCTGCAAGCTGCTGTCTTGGGGAGAAGAGGAGACCTCCTTCCCGGTTTGGGCCACAGCATATGTTTTATGCAGCCAGGGATTTTGTCAAATTAACGTGCTTGTTCAAATTAGAGGGGAGGGAGTGGGGAAAAAAAAAGGATA